GCGTGAAAACTGTTTTTTACACATTGTATTTGCCAGGTCGACCATTTAGACATACAGAAAATAAGGGGAAAAGGAAGCAATCATCCAAAGAAGTTGATTAGGGATGGAGTATCCGGACACGTCCAAAATGGTGTTGTGGTGAAGTAGTCTTTTTCATATAGGGGGGCTTGCACCCCTTGTTGTTTTGTGTGGCACTATCACGGCACAGGCCTACGATAATGTTTTAAACATCTTGCTGCTTGAAGGGCAATTCGGGGATGGCGATTGCATATTTCAACATGATCGAGCACCTGTTCATACTGCACGGTCTCTGGCGGACTGGTTGCACGACAATTATATCGCTGTAATTGACTGGCCTGCACAGAGCCCTGACTTGAATCCTATCGAACACGTTTGAGATGCTTTGGAACGCCGACTACATCGATGCAACATCGGTACCTCTCCTCAGTGCAGCACTCCTTGAAGAATGGGCTGCCATTCTCCAAAAAACCTTCCAGTATCTGATTGAAAGTATGCCTGCGAGAATGGAAGATGTCATCAGTGCTAAGGATGGGCCAACACCCTACTGAATTCCATCATTACCAATGGAGGGCGCCACGAACTGGTAGGTCATTTTCAGCCTTGTGTCCGGATACTTTTGATCACTTAGAATACATTATTATTATTATTATTATTATTATTATTATTATTATTATTAATAAAAATACAAATTTAATCATGGTGTGGTACTTGCCTCAATAGTTTCTCAGGATAAAAATCATTTGAAATACAATAAAAATGAAATTAACTATTTTATTAAAAGTCTCGGAACAAAAGCACTACAGTCACAATGACGACAGCACATTGTCTAGAGAAATACACGCTTATCTCTCGTACTGCGTTGGTACTTTTGGACACATTTAATTGTCTTGATTAATTAAGAATAAGTATGTAATTAACTGTAAAGAAAATGAATGACTGGTAAATATAATTAACCCACTATGCTAATAAATTGACACGCGGTGTGACAGGACGACGGCGGAATAGGAGGACGGCTGCTGGGAGAGAGGGCTGTAGGACGACAGTAATTAACGCGGCTGGGTTAGGGTTAGTCAGTCCATGAGGGGAAGAAGTGGAACAAAAGTCATGATAAGGTGGTGGAAGAAAGGTTGGGAGGGGACGACAGGAGGGAGGCCGGGAGTGGAGGGGACACGGGGCGAAAAGGCGGCAGGGTCAATGGGTTCATGAGTGGAAGAAGTGAGCCAAAATGTCATGGTAGACTGGAGGAAGAATGGCTGGAAGGGGGGGAAAGGAGGGCGGTCGGGAGGTAAGGGGAGGGGAGGGGTCACGGGGCAAAGAGGCGGCAAGGTCAGTCAGTCTATGAGTGGAAGGAGTGGGACAAATGTCTTGGTAGACTGGAGGAAGAAAGGCTGGGAGGGGAGGAAAGGAGGGAGGCCGGGAGGGAAAGGGTCACGGGGCGAAGAAGCGGCAGGGACAGTCGGTTCATGAGTGGAAGGAGTGGGACAAAATGTGATAGGGGGTGGGAGGAAAGGAGGGCGGCCAGAAGTGAAGGGGAGGGGAGGGGTCACTGGGCAAAGAGGCGGCAGGATAGTCGGTCCATGAGTGTAAGGAGCGTGTCAAATGTCATGGTAGACTGGAGGAAGAAGGGCTGGGAGGGGAGGAAAGGAGGGCGGCCGGGAGGGTGGGGGAGGGGAGGGGTCACGGGGCGAAGAGGCGGCTGGCGGGGACGCGTGCCAGCAGAGGGTCGATCATCTTCTCCTTGACAGCGGTCGCCATCGCGCCGTCGATGAACTGCCCGTACGCCGTGTACGCCGCTCTCCAGTGGCGGTTTATGAACCGGTTGGCGTAGAGACCTGCAACAGCACATGCGCCACCTCTCTCGCAAAGACGGCTTCCCACGCGCCGGGGATACCTCGCAGCCAGTGCCGGCTACAGCAGGGACGTTAAAGAGCAACGAACTAGAACCAGGGTCGGTCACAAAGTAATGCGCTTCATTTTACGGCAATCCTGGCGACAGCAGGGATGTCATAAACTCCACACAAGTGTTTGTGGATGCTCACAACAGTGTCCTGCTCCTCAACGAGGATCTCAATCACAGTTCACTGTTTGTAACGTGGCGTCCGCTGCAGCTGCCATTTTAACAGTTCGTTAAGGAACTGCCATCTGTAGGAGAAACTTAAGACTACGTACACTAACGCTGGAAATACGAAATTTTGAACGGTTAACAACTACAACTGTCTATCATTATTATTGCGTGAAGGGGAATTATGGGGCTTTACTTTCTGACAGAGTAGCTGACCCTATGGTTACAGCGCTCTTGGTTGACGCGCCACGCCGTCATGTTTTTTGCAGGAAAAACATGAGAGGTGCCAGATAGTGGCATGTTGTTTGCATCGGATCTTATTTCTACATTGTTGACGTTTCGTTTATCTTTATTTAAATTACATTTGTGATTAGAATAATAATATTTACAATGCCTTTAGTATGTTCGGCATATAAGAGTAAAAATAGAAGTCGTTAAATCACAAATACATGATTTTGCGAGTTTGCCACCTTATTTGTTATCAGTTTGTTTGCTTCTTATTCCAATAATATTAGTTTGCAATCTTCATGCTAACTGCAATAGCATTTCAATATGCATTACATTTCTTTATGCTAACTGCAATAGCAACAGTTCCCATTCGTGTGATCAAAACCTATGCAGGAATCAACGTGTTTCTCAATTCGTTTTCCTAACATATTGTCATTCCGTTTTTAAACGATTATTTTTTGGGCGTGGTACACAGAGCAAGAGGATTTATACAACGCGCGTTCGACCCCCACCCGGCCTTAACCAGCACCAAACGGAATACTAGAATATTCTGTTTCTCCAGAGGCGCTGTTTTGACTGCAAAAACATGACTTCAATTTTCTACAAAGATGGAGGCCCTTCAGCTACTCTATGTAGTATGTTGTAGCTCCAGTTGATGTAAGACCATGTATTACACACCATGTGTAACCTATGTATCAGGAAATAAACAACAGCTGTTGACAGCGGTTGACAGCTATACCTCGACAAGTGCAGCGTTACCGCACTTTACTCTCCTTGCCACGTGCGCTCTGATAAAGGTTTCTGCACAATCTATAGGTAATTCCATCTTCTAGTGCTATACGTTTGATATTTATCTTTCCGATGCATGTACTTTCTGAATATTCTTAATTGTGTGATTATTTTTATTGGGCATCAAAATTCGTGGCAGAAGTCAGCTGAAACGACGCTCGCTTCCCATCAATTATCCACTTGCGTTTGTGACAACAACCGTAGATTACATCACCGGAATCGTTGCTGCTATTGCGGGTCATTTCAGCGTATCGTAGAAAATAATTTACAGCGTCATCTCGAGACTCTCATACGTCAAGCACAAAATGTTTCAACGCATAGTGAATTGTTACCGATTTTAAAATGCACGGTGGAAGTGGACCAAATAAGAATACTCATGCACTAGCGAAGATGTAGTAATTATATCTACGAGTAGTGGATATGTTCAATGGAATTAATAATGAAGCTGTCATCATTTAGAACATTTAAATGTTATTGAAGATGCATATTCGCGCTATGTGATGTAATGAAAACTTTTTTAAAAACCATAGTCCCTTGCATAAACTGATCCGGCGTCGCTATTGGCGGAGTCAACTTGCTGCGCTTGTCAGGGTCTTGACGGTCCTCGTTAGCACGAGGTGCTTTGGGGGTAGTTACACCCTCGCGCTGTGTTGTAAGCCCCTCTCGTAATTAATTGACTGTTTAGTTATTCTGGGTGCGTCAAAAAGCTAATGTAATTAGTCCCGTGAGTGCATGTTTCATCGCTGGATCATCGCTGGACTACATCACTGGATTTCATCGCTGTGATCTTCCATAGCTGGATGGTGAGATCCGGCGCCGACCGAAGGAAAGTGGTACCGAACTGATGAATTTTGACAGAAAAGATTAAGAGATCTGGAATTAAAGGTGAACTAAAGATTGCTATCTGGAATGTGAAGGGTTTATATAAATGGAAATAGAGGACAAAAAAATAAAAGGGTTTATTAAGCCATAATTTTAGGGGGAAAAACTTAATGGAACAAAATCTCTGGAAAATTTATGTAACGATATTAGTGTGGTAGAGCATTGAAAAATAGACACGGAGTAGCAGTTCTCATTAATAAAAAATGACGAAAACATATTCCAAAGTCAAAATTTGTTAATGGTAAAATATTAATAATACGATTAACTAGTGGTGCTATAGAATGGGACAGACTTTTCCGTATTAGTTTTCTATTTCCTTTGTTGTCGGCTAGCTATTCCGACTTGCCATATACTCTTGCCAGTTACCATGAGTTAGCAGCCACCCAGAGAACATTTTTTGACTTTTCTTAATTTTTCATAAAATAATAAGTAATTTAAATGTGGTGTTTCTCATCAGATTTGCCTAGGTAATCATCATTTGTGGTTACAGAAAGTAACGCCAGTAAATGGTACATTGCGCCAAGTAAGCCTGGTACATTTGCTGCCAGTATTCATGGTGTTTGCCTTGAAAATGCATTCAAATAATTCAATTGTAAATTGTAGAACTTTTTGAACGTTTATGTTAATTTTGAGATCCCTTGTTTGAACCAACTGAGGTGACACCCACAGTTATTATGGTTGTAACTGGTAAGACGTATGTTTAGTAGAATTTTTTCTTTTCTTTTTTTCTTACATTTGTAGTTCATCTGTCCCAGTTGATAACAGAAGTTCAAACCGAACAGATTTTCTTGAGATTAAAAATGTGCACACAGTTTTGGTTTTGTGATATTCATTTTAATTACATAACACTTCGTTGTGAATCTTTCTTAACAGTACTTTTTTTAATTTTCATATCCTTGTACACAGGCATTAATTGAAACTCAAAAAGGTAAGTTTCTTGAATGTGTGTGAAATGCAAATAGAATAATGCTATTAAAAACATAATGTATTGGTAATAATTTGTTGTTGATTAAAACAGGTTCATGGACTACTCAGTATGCTGCTACATCATGTGCAGATGCATATGTTAGCCTTGTATATGGTAAGAATTCGCTATAATCTTTAACAAACTCATTTATCACTTTGGTGAATATTTTGAAGATGGTAAAATTTCATATGTCTCAATTTCAGATCTTTTTCACCCATGTGTAGTGTCACTTCAAGTTCTTATAGAGGTTTCGCATGGTAAATTTTTCCTTAGAGTATACAGTTATTAGTATCAATGGAGTGTAAATTATGGAAAATAAAAAAAACAATGTTTTTGTGGTTGGTGATTACAGATTCTTGAACCACTGAACAGGTGAAAGAAGTAATTCTGGAAGATGATTCTGTGACTTTGGTATATGGAAAGTGAAAGATATTCCTGGATTCCATTATTCAAGAAGCTACATTAGAAGAAACAATTTTCTTTTTGATCTATATTTTTTTCAGAATATTCATTTGAGGACATAGTAACTTTCTTAACAGCATTGTTTGCTTTTCAGATCCTCTTCCAAAGCATCCACAATTGACCCTAAATGACTGTAAGTGTTCGGTTCCTGATGCAATCAAATATTTACACTTACACAATCCATTTTCAGAATTAAATTGTGGCGCATAAGTATTGTTGGACCTGTTACATTCCACTCTTTGTAAATCATTGTTTTAAAAATGAATGTAGTTCCACCAAAAATGAATGTGGATATCATATTTGAACAGCCAGACCCTGAACTGTACATGTGTGAGATGGCATGGGTAAATACTTTGCCTTAGAAGTTGTAAACGTTTGTGACTCAAATGGTGTTCACAGATATATTAAAACCATTGGGTGTTATGTGTGAACCACCTATAACTCAAAGGACAGAGAACGTGTCAAGTTAGTTGTATTCTTGGATTGAAATGAAATAAAAGGCAGTAATACTGCTAAAAAATACATGGTAAAAGTAATTTAATTTTTTTCGTAGGATTGGGGCACCTGATATATTAGCCTCGTGATCCTACCTTTCCAACTGGCAAAACTGGCACTTGTATTATAACTATTTGATTTTCTTGGTCAAACGTGCAGTAATATTTTATTGGTTTCCTTTCAACACTGTTGAGATATTACACCCATATTGCTCTATATTAATGTAGTATTCCATATTATTCACATTAATTTGGCAGGTGTAAAAAGCTAGAAAATGTTTATTTGAGCTAGTGTACTGTGTTTATTGCCTGGTGTAATACAAAATTATTAATTCTATTGAAATTGTGTAACATCCATATGCTCAATAAATATTAGACATTAGTGCCCAAATTGATACTTTTTCTTCCATTATATTCTTATAAATTTTACTGTGAACGTTTTGGAAAATTAAGGCTGTATGGGAGTGAAATTTTAAAGTTCCCGCGTAGCTGGTTTATTTCAAATTAACCGGTTCCTTCGCTATTGGCTGTCCGTTTGCCGAATAGAAATTATACGGAACAATGTGTCGGCACCGAAAGTAGAGCAAATAAGGCTTTCCCTTTGAACATTGAGTGCCGTCTCTGATAAATACAATTTGAGTTGCATTAAGATATATTAATTGGAAAAGCTGCATCGTGCTTCCGCTAGAAAGACTGAAGTTGCAAGAAGTTACGAAATATATTATAGATAACGCCACTAGAGGTGAATAAATTTGTGAAAGCGTTCGCCTAACCATAAGTACAGTGACCAATCAAAATTTAGAACGATCTTCGACAAGAATTTGCGTCACGAAAAACGGAAGCTGCCATTTTTGCGACGTCTGGAACAGGAACATCGATTGACAAGCAGAGCTGAGGAGAAGCAAAGATTGGTGGGAAAACAATTCAAGAAGCTTAATAAAGGTAATATTTGTACATCTATATAAAATCACTCAATATGTTGTATATGTAGAGAAATTAAACTAATGTGTGATACTGGATTAAACGAAGTTGTGTGAAACGATCAGAAATCATACGATATTAGTCACTGAAATGCTTTATTTCTGCAAACATTTAAGAAATGAAATAGAGCATCTAATGAAGAATGTTTCTTTTTGTTTCAGATTTTATTTTTTTATACTCTATTCTCAATCTTCTATTTCAATATTTAGTGGATTGTAAGTGGATCCAAGTCTTATCTGTTCATACATGTATACGGTGGACGGAATAAGAGAGGAAGCGACATTTCTTGGCGAGTCAATCTCGAAAGGAGTGGAGAATTCAAGGCGAGAATAAGAAGAAAAAATATTTCAACGCATCAGCACGAACGCGGTCTTCGACAGCGTAAAGATCTACCATCTTTGACCCCGTTCGCCTCGTGCAGCGAAGTCGAGACCCTGAACTGCGGAACTGTCGACGTTTGCAGAGATCAGAAGGAACTTCGAGTGACAAGCGTTGTGAGTCGTTCCAATTTTCCATTTAAAGTTGTCTCTTGGCTGCCAAAGAAATTTACATAGGAATGTTATTCTTTGAAAATTAATAGAAGCCTTCTAGGTTTATTTAGACTAAATAATTTGAATTTATTAAGTTTCTGAAGTAAATTTTGGAATTGCGAATTCTGTCGTAAAACGAATACATATGTCTTTACAAAATTTAAAGTTTTAAAATATTTTCACCTGTATTGAGTGTGGAGTGGAACACAATAGAATGACCACATCGTGTTTAGAATGATTCAATGTGTTGTTTATATAAGATTGCAAAGATAAGTCATCATTTTCATTTGATCTTGGTTCTATGAGAAAGGTATTGATTCGTGGATTAAATTTGTGGTGATGAAGCTAAACATTTACTAGAGAGAAGTTTATATGGAATGCCAATTTGAAAGCACTAATTAATAACACAATTATTTTATTATGAACTAAAAGATGCAATTAAATCATAGCTCCAATATTTTTAAATTATCAGACTAGTAAACAAAAAACAAAATTGAAAGAGAACGTCATGAAACAAAGAAAATGTAGCATTAAGATAACTGCAATATTGACAAAATGTCTGCATTACTTAAACATATAAGGCGTATTTATTACATTAATGTTTTAGAATGTATGTTTTATCGAAGTATTTTTTTACAATTTTTTCGTTCATTTTGTTTTTCTTAACGTTTCGGAGACTGTGTTTATTGGCCTACTAAAATATAAATTTGCAATTCTTTACCCTAAACTATTGACTTGATTTATGAAAATCAAAATAAAATAAATATAAGAGATTGTAAAGTTTAATTTACTGATTCAATTTGTTAAGTTTCTTAAATTTATTGTTCAGAATCTGAATAGTGCACTCTCTCTAATGGATCAGCCACTTCATCACTTCATAAAAAATCATAATTTTCTACAAGTTTGTTAATTATTCTATATCTTTCGGATTTAATGTATTTAAATACTATGATGACCCGGCCATGTTGTAAAAATGTCATGTAATAAGGAACATTGGGTCTGATGGACTCAACAACTTTGAACAAGAATAGCACATCACGTTTTTCTGATAAACTGAAAAAGATTGTCATCTATTCAAAGAGATTCAATTCGAAGGTAGACTGGTGTAAGTTAAGAAATAATTTTGTTTACTTTACAGACGGCTTCAAAGTTATCACTGGGTCTGGCAGACCTAACGTTCCCACTGCTGGGTTAAATGCATGATTGCCATGATGAGTTGCCATAATGCATGCATTAAATAGCTCTATTAATTAGCGGGTCTGAGACCCAACGTTCCCACTGACGTCAGAATTTTTCACGTTCTCGTTGCCGGGTTAAACATTGGTTTGGAAAATTCACGACAATATAAATCCTATTGAATCAATTATTGTATAAACTTCTTTGAGTTTTCAGATTGTATGTTTATTCGTATTCTTTCTTTTTTGTTTTGTAAAGTATTATAGTTCACATGTCATTTCTTTATGCAAAGTGAAAAAGGATATAATTTCACACTGTGCGGAACGTATTACTGTTATCAATGATACATATTAGAAATAATTTAAAGAGTTATTAAAAATTTTCTACTAAAAGTCTGACCAATTAGCATAGTTGACCTGCCAATTAATGTAACTTTAAAAAAAGAATAAATTCAACTATTTTTATCGAAATATCTCGACTTTTGATTTCTGTAATGTACATTAAAAAACGTACCCACTCCTGATTAGTATAGTTAAATTGATACAATTGTACCTAGTAAAAACGTGACGTTTCTTACTCGTCAGGAAGTCGATTAAAATTAAAGGATTACTAGAGTAACCTGACTTCCTCTCTTAAATACTCAGGACTCGGAGAAAGATCGGAACACTAATAATATTGCGTATCCGTTACAAATAATGCGAGCAAGTTTGAGATGTAGCGCCACTTGTTTTTGATGCAAAAAGGGTTGTAGTAAAAGGGCAAGCTTTTAACTGAGCAGTACATACAATCGGCATTTTGTTGCGCGTCGAAGAACTTTCTAGTTTCTAAGCGGGTTTAACAAAAAGGATGATTTGTTAGATGCGGTCGATCGGAGCACATACTGTAGACTAGTAAATTTATTGTTGCGTATAATTGGAGTGTTCGATTATGGTTTTGGGCGCGACAACTACTACGGTCATTAGTTCTGGGAGTAGTGCAGTTTTTTTCACGAGAGTTACACTCTGCTTTAAGCTTTCATTTCTCCACATTTTATTTCAATTTGGTTTCTGATCTCAAATAAACAATAAGTTCTCATTGGCACAAATTTGGGCTAAGCTATTACATTTTTAAATATTACGCATTGGAGGTTTTTGTCTAAAATCCTGCAAAGCCAATTGCAGAGATTAAAACTAGTGGTGTTTAAACAGCACGTACTTTTTCGCGATATTGTGAATATTTCTGTAAATTTGTAATAAGAAAATTTCTGTCCGACACTTCTACCATTTGAAAAATTCTTAAAAACGAAGCGCGCGAAAAATATATTTTTCAAATTCAAGCGTTTAAACGAAAACGGCTTTCTGCTATTGAATTAAAAAAACTCAATGTGTATTTTCGCCGTAATAAAATTTTATTTAAACACATACACTAATAGTTATTAATTTGTCATCGGGAACCAACGGCTGTTATATCCTTCAGATATATTTAAAATAGTTAATGATTACATAATATTAAGTCATATTTCGTCTCAAGATTCAAATGACAGCCTTCAAGCTCTTTACGCCTGTTCTTATATAGACACCAATACAAAATTTTAATCCATTTTTGTCATGCACTATGTCTGACGTGGTTGTCAATACCTCCTTTCACAAGAAAAACTCTTTAGAAACCCTACCTGATAATGAGAGATTATTCTGTGAACATCACGGCGTATCGCGACGTTCCTATTGTTAGATTTCAACTTCATTTTACTGCCAATGGATTTTGGCTACACGACGTGTGAGAGGATCCAGTTTTTCGTTACCCGAGCCCTGTAATGTGGGTTTTTCTGCCGAAAATTCGCAGTTTTTTCGTACAGCATTACATAAGTTTTTTCTCTACCGCTGTGACGGTAGCGAGAAAATAAATCTCTATCATCAATACTGTCGTGTTTCTGTTGGTTGGAGATACCTGGTTAGAGAAAATTCCATTAGACG